GGCTCTCCCATGGCAATAGATTGCCCAATGCACATGATCTTTCCCTCCTTTCTGCTAGAAGTTTCCTCGTAGTAGCTCCAGAGATCACCCATTAGGAACTGAACAGAACAACCTTGACCTTTTTTTGGAGAAGAACATTCTATAGAATCTCTTTAATGTTTCCCAATATAAATATAGCAGGCACAAGCCCCATTTTGTCTAGAAGCTCGATCTGTCTGATCAGCTTGCCGGTTCTGCCCCCGCCTTGAAACATTCTTGTGTTTTTTGAGCCATTTTAATTCTCTTAGCTTTTATTTCTCCGCCAGCGCTTTCCACTGAGGGGAAGCCCATTCCCACCACCGGTGCGGGACTTGGGCAGGACTCCATGACCTCCATAGCCAAGTAAAGACCAAAAGTAATCATAGAACAATTTCTGGGCAAACTTCTAACAGTTAAATATTTCCACAATTACTCCATAGTAACTGCCTCTGCAGGTTGGGATAATTATCCCAAAACTTAGTGGCTTGAAATAAGCACCATTTTATTATGTCAAATGCTTTTGAAGAGTTGGGGTTTGGACAGGGTTTGCTAGGTGATCCTTCTCCTGCACAGCCTTCACCAGGTCACTTGGTTTCAAGCAGTGGATGGTCTGGAGGGTTCAAGGCAGCTTCACTCAGGCCTGGAACCTAGGTATGGATGAGTGGGAAGCTGGGCCCAGCTAGAACCCTTGACCTTAAGGCCTTCTCAAGGGCAGTATAGCATGGAAGATAAAAAGTAGCAAGACTTCTTAGGTGGCAGCTCGGGACTCCAGTCAACACAGCAGAAGCTGCGGCGCCTTCTCTGAGCTAGGCTCAGAAGTCCCAGGGCAACTCTGCCACTGACTCTATACATCAAAGCAGCTGGACTAAAGAGAAGAGAGTATAGAACAACAAAGAAGGGGAGGAGGGTCAAAGACCCCCTTCAACACCCATCAAAATTCCAAATTTTCAGTTAGGTAGAATAATATCTTACTCAAAATATCTCAATTGCCCACACTGCCAGGAATACAGTATGTCATGATAGTTTACAGTAATGTAATTGCACAAGGCAAGAACAAAATATATCTGTTTGTTGAACACATGAATAAATGTTCATTATAATCTGGAAGACGAGGGAATGAACTAGCTGGAGACATGGATGCCTGCCTCTTTCATAACAAGAAACCCCCTCCTGCCCTTCCCCTATTCCCTTAGGCAAAAGACAGACTGTCACAGTTGGTATCCTCTCCCCCACCGCAAGCCCCATGGTGTCCATGCCCTTGTAAAGCACAGCTGCAGAGCTTGTGCTCAGATGCGGCTCCCTCCCAGCTGGCTGTGTGCTTGGGAACTGAGCCTCTTCTATTGCCATGAGCAGTAACCCTTGTGTGCACAGCTCAAACACACCCGAACGCTCATGGAAAGGAAAAGCTTGAGACTACGATGCCCAGTCCTCTCTCAAGACAGGGTGCAGTCCGTGGTTCCCACAGCTATTGCTTTTGATTATTCCTCTTGGCCTATCGCTTCTTTACCTCTCTTCCTCCCAGGGAATAAATGTCATGCACTGGGCCTTATCCACAGCAATTCTTTCCATTTGTCTAGCAAATACTAATTGATCATCTGCTACATGTCAGGCTTTCTGCTGAGGACACAGAGTAAACAAATCATCACCTGTTCTCCCAAGATACTTGCAGTGTGGCCTCTGAGTTCTAATTGGACAAATGAATGCATAAATAGCAATTATAATATTGTTAGTTAACGTACAAAGACCATGGGTGAATGGTCCCTGAGTTGACTTGGAACCAAAAGTTTCAGAAGAAACAACAAACACCCCAGATGTCTCCGTGCTCAGCTCTGCCTGCAAGTTTGGAAGCCAGTTCCTACTCATTGCCCACCAAGGGCCACTTAAAGGCCACACCTGTATTCCTTTCCCATTCAAGGCTGGACGATGGCTTAATATGCTCTCAGCCCCAACCTGCCTCCCAACCCTTGTTCTAGCCAGCATGACCTGTACACTGGCCTTTGAAGGGGTGTTGGGGCTTCATTGTAATTGTGCCCCAGACTTATGTGGCAGATCCTTCAAATGTGGCCCAGTGTGGTCACCGAGCACGCACACCAGGTTTGACTCTGGACTCTGGTGGTGTGTGGTGTTGGGAGGGCTCTTTAATCCCACTGAGTCTTCGTTTTCACATCTGTAAAAACAGAGCTAATGTTTACTTGCCAGGATGTTAGGTTTAAATTAGATTAGTGCTCTGTATGGCACATTGTGGGCCTTCCCCAAGAGGTAGATTTTATTATCCTTGTAATGTTAACGGTTAAGGTTGTACGATTTAGAAAATAAACATACAGATCACTCAGTCAAATTAAAACTTCAAACAAACAACTTCTTTTTTAAAATGTTAAGTATGCCCCTTGCAAAAGTTGGGACACATGTATACTAAAAGATGAAGTGTTCTTTAAGTGTTCAACTTTAGCTTGACATCCATGTATTATCTGACAACTCTCTGAATGATAATCACCTTCTAGCCCCATAGTAACCTATATGAGATACTCAAATTTATCTTATTGATGAGAAAACTGAAATTCACTGGCCTTTAGTAAGCTTCTCAGAGAGGGGCGGAGGCTCAGATTTGAGACTCATGGTTAGCCCTTTTCTCAACACTACCAGTGAGTCTCAGTTTCCCCTTCTGGCCCAGGAGATCAGCTGGCCTCACAAGAATCAGCGTTGGTGTTCTGTAGCAATGCTTTCCCTTGCAGAAGGAGGCTGGTATCAAAGTGCTGCCAAGAAGGAGGACCAAAAGCAGAGACTGATACACCTCACCAGGGCAGCTTCCTCGTGGAGGTCATGCCAGTGTTCCAGGAGGAAGCCCAGGTCAGTGCCACTGGGGCAGACGGCCTATGCTGGCCCCTCTTCTCCAGCCACATCCACACAGAAAGCCCATGGAGGTAGAGGCCACAGAGGCAGTTTTGGAAACAAGTACCAGAAGATCCACAGCGCGGACCTTTCTGGATGTGACTGCCCCAAACTGTACTGAATCTGCCCTCCTGCCCACTCCTGCTCTGTCTTCCCTGCAGAGTTCCAAAGACCCCAAGGAAGCCCTGGGTGCCAGCGAGAGGAGTCCGCAGGTGCTGCTGGGGAGAAGGGAAGACGCACACGGGAAAATGGGGGAAGGACCTTTAGGATAATGATTTCCAGAGCTGAGATGACAACTCCTGGTGACAGGCTGAGGAGCACCAGAAATAAAAATAAATTAATGAATAAATTTTTTTTAAAAACCCTGCCGACCTCCCTTTTCCAGTGTGGAAATAAATACACCTGTCTTCCTTTCTCTCTCTCTAGAACCTGACCTTCAAGGAATCTACCCTTTTAGGGTACCTTCCCTTTCCAGCCTTATCCGGGTCACCTCCCTTGCCTGGGAAGTCATAGGTGTGTGTTTTCAGAAAGAGGTGGTCAGGATCAAGTGGAAAGATCAGGCAGGTATGTGTGCAGCTTAGTCCTGGGGCTTCTGTGCTTCAGGATGCAGAGAGGATGAGAGAGCAACGCATAAGCAGGAAGCCCTGACGAATATGTTTGTGTGGGGGAATGGAGGGAAAGTCTAGCTCTAGGAGAACATTCAGCTGCCATGATGCAGAAGATGGGGAAGGACCAAGGAATCCAGACTCAGGAGGCACTCTGGTCTCCCCTTTTTTGGACAGCACTGCCCTCCCTGATCCTCTCCAAGAACACAAAGGGTGCATCTTCTGCATGGGCTTCAGAATGGCCAGCTTCATTCACCACTTAGCCAAGCAAGCCAGGGGGCAGTTGTGCTGCAGGACCCAGATGTGTCTCACTCCTCAGAGGTAAGAACAGGCTTGACATTCCTCTTGCCATTTTAGTCTATTTTGTAGAGACTATATAACATAGTCCCTGCGATTGGATCATTCATAAGCAGCAGAAATCTATTTCTCACAGTTCTGGATGCCGGTAAGTCGAAGATCAAAGTGCAAACATCTGGAAAAGTCCTTCTTACTGCATCCTCACCTGGCAAAAGGTGGAAGGACAAGGTGGCTGAGTCCTCATATAGAAAACGAACCAAAGAAGCAAACCCACTCCTGCAAGCTCTAAAATCTAACCACCTCCCATCAAGCCTCCCCTCCCATCCACAGTTGCACTAGAGGTTAAATTTCCAACACTTGAATTTGGAGGGACAAATTCAGACCATAGCATCCCCCTTCCCATGCTAACAGCTCTAATCCTATGCCTACAGCCACCTTCACCTCTGCATTCCATAATATGTGTCTATAATTCAGCTAGCCTATAATACCAAGGGCAGAGGGTAGTGGAAACTCAGCCTGCCAGAGAGACAAACCAGACAGGTGTAAATGGGTCACAAATCTATGCACAGTACACTCAGATGCTAAAAAGCATCTATAGTCTTCTTCTTATTGAATGGTAGTTCCTGAAGATCCTGTATCCCTTGGAGTAGTTTGATCTCTGGTTGTCACAGTGCCTGGGAGCTACCACCAGCCTTATATACCAAGGCCAAGAATGCTAAATATCCCTACATGAGGAAGAACTGCTTGACCCAAAGGTTGATGGCATCCCCCTGGAGAAGCAGTCCCTATCTCCCACAAAATTATTCTCACTGCAAGATGGTTGTGGGAAAGAGGAGAACGCAAAACTCAAAACTTGCCAATTCATAGGTTTTTCTACCATTTCTGTTGCACTGTTTATGTTCTCTTAAATGACTCAGTCTTTAAGGAGGAAAAGATCCATTTTTAATACGTGTTCCCTTCCCCTTTCCATTCCCCATAATGATGCTAGTGCATGCAAAGGCAGGGCTTATTCAACCTGTGAATATGGGGGAGAGGAGTTGATCCACCTGAGCACGCGTGAAAAACCCAGAGTTCCTGCATGTCTGCGTGTATCTTCATGTTGCTCTTGTGTTTTGAATGTAGCTAGGCAGCATAAGTTTTCATTTGGGTTCTTCCAAAAACCAACTCTGAGACAAGGCTTGGGATGCACATAGTTTATTGTAAGGTCATCCCCCGAAACAGACAGCAAAGGGAAGAAAGTCAATCTAAGAGTGTGTTATTGAAGAAGCCACCGCAGGTTGGGAGCTCCACCTGAATGGAGTGCAGATGCCCTTCTAGAATTGTCCCCCTTGTAAAAGACACTAGGCTCGGCATTCCACCAGTTCCCAACACCAACCAGCCAAGAATTGGTGTGGGGGGGAGTGTCCCCAGGGGCAGTATCCACCGTCATCAGGCTGGTCAGCTTCAAGGTGGTCACTTGAGAAGATGCAGGAGCTGAAACAAGAAAAATGCACAACCTGAGTTGAGGAGGGAGGTTATTACCAGAAGGCAGGAAAGTTCACATGGAAGCATTCACAGAGCGGCCAAGAGATGCTGTGGGTACCACAGGAATCCACACAATGCAGAGCTGTTATTTCCAAATGACTTCCCCTTACAAACCACAAGATACTGGTCCATTGGCTTTGAGCTCCCAGGATTACTAAAGAAATCCGCACCCACCTGATTCCTGTTCCTTTGCTGGTAACCTGTTATTTCTCTTTCTGGAAACTTTGGGGTTTTTTTATTGTTATTCTTGAGGTTCTGTGATTTCAGCAGTGTGTATCCAATTGTGTTTGGGGTCATTCATTTTGTGTGTCTTTCCGTGATCCTTTTCCACTCTGAAAAACTTGTGGATTTTTTCAGTTTTATGTTTTCCTGTATATTTTTAGTTCCTCTTTGCTCACTTGTGCCCCTCTCCTCCCAATCTGGTTCTTGAGTTCATTCTTTATCTATGCCCATCTTCCTTTCCAGCACAGTTATCAAATGATCGAAAGCATTTGATGATCACAGAATCCTAATCAATTCTTTTTCATACCATTTATTCTTTACTGATGTAACCTGTCCATCAAAGTTCAATTTTAATTACACTCATCTTAGACTTCCTTTTCCCTTTTCCATGGACATTAGCTGTTTTATTTGTTGATTTTGATTCCTCTTTTTAATGATGTTTGTTTTCCTTAAATGTTTGGACATTCTTAACTATTGTTTGCCTTTGGATGTGAAATTCCTGTTTGCTCCGGTATGTAAACACCCACTGCAGCTGTCTGGGGCGACTGGCCTAGGGTGTAGGGAAGGCAGTGTCTCAGGAAGTAGCCTTCCTCCTGCAAGGCTGTCCCCTTTCACAGGAAGTGGGAGTCATCTGGACTCATTTTTCACTTTCTCCAGCCTGAATGTCTATCTGAGTTTCCTGGGTCAGGATTCCTCCTTCAGACAGCTGTACGGTATATTTTTAGTTCCTCTTTGCTCACTGTAGAGTTGATTCTGGGGGCAAATTCATGAACCAGGCCTCTTCCTTTACTTTACACACACACACACACACACACACACACACACACACACACTTCTTTCTTGCCTGACTGAAGTTACTTCCAGCTCTCTCTGGGTTATTTCTCCCATCTGGAGGGTCTATCCTGGATCTACACATCACCCTGCTCTCTGCTCAGGAGCGGGCTGGCTGGTGGGCTCAGCTGTTCATACAATGCTTTAGTAATTAACCTGATGATGGTCCAAAAGCCCCTAAAGTCTAAACTTAAAAATATTTCTGGGATTTCTGTTACTTCTGTGATGGTGTTCTATTGTCTATGTTTAGGGCTATGGCTTCCCACTCACCTACCCCCTGCCTTTTTCTCTACCGTCTGAACCAATCTGCTTTCTATCTTTCCGCTTTGTAAAAAATCTGTCTAAGGATCGATCCCAAAGTTTCACCACCCTATCATTAGGTAAGAGTTCAGGGACACCAAGATGGCAGAGACCGGGTACTAGAAAGAAGCCATTGGAGGACATGATCGATGAGGAGACCAGTCCTGTTCCTGTTCACAGTAAATCCCATCACCAGGACAACTCCTGCCACTGAGAACATCACCAGGACAACCCCTGCCACAGGTTCAAATTTTAAAATGACCAAATGGAAGTAAAGTGGGCAGTATTCTAATTGGGTTTTCTAAAGTAAGCAATAGAGGGGGAAATCAGAAAATGTTCTAACCAGCTGTCATAAGATAACCAATGGGAGAAAATGGGGTAAGGTCTTCAATCAGGCCCATATAGGGAAGAGAATGCCCCCACAGAACAGGATATAAGACCAGACCCTAATTTTCAGAATTTGGGGCCTTGAGCCTCTCTCTCAGTGGGCCCCCTCTGTTCCCCCTAGTAGAGTGCTATATTCACCTTCAATAAACCTGTTCTCTATATGTTACTTCTGTGTGTCTTGTGCAATTCTTTGTTAGGGACACGGAGAACCTGGACTTCGACTGGACAACCCAACAGGAACACTGTCATGGATTCCTTTACCTCCTCCTCCTTTCATTTACTTATCTTATTTGACTTCCACAACAACAAAGTGGAAAAGATACTAATTATTGGCATTTTTTCCAACAGGAAAACTGAGGCCTAGAGAGATTAGATTTGACTTCTCGAAGCTGCCATAGTTAGAACAGGGTAGTGCTGGAACTTGACCAGGGCTCACCTGACCCCAGGGGAGGCTATAACTATTCTCTTCATCTACTCATGAGGGTCCTTCTCTGTGTTTGCATCTTTGTTCCTCCCCACTAAGAGCTCTTCAAGCCCTCTTGTCCCTACAGGACCCAGCATAGTGCAGAGGTCACCAACATGAGGAGTCGAGGTATCACCTTGTTAGAAAGTGTCAGGTTAGGCTTTGGACTTAGGAAATCTGGCCCTAAAGACTGCCCCCTAATACCACACTGCCACTCAGATCTGAGGAAGCCCCACCAGCTTCCTCCCAAGTATCCCCATCCTGAGAGAAAGAGGAAGGCACACCCCGGAGCTACAGCCCATCTGTGCCCTGGGAGCACTGCCCATGGGGGCTTCCACAGCTGTGGTTCACTGCGAGCATCATGTACCCTTTGACTTTTAAAACCAAGATCACGTATGATTTTGATAAAACAGAAAAGAAGATAAACAGAAAGAAAAGAAGAATGCAGACTATGGACTGTCAGGGCTGTGGGCAAACTACATATACACAACAGACGTTGGAAATGTGCTATAGGGAGGCAAGTCATGACCGGCAGGACTGGTCCACTGTATGAGGGGCAAGAAGCTGTGAGTAGTGACCTGCCACTGATTAAGGCTGTCATCTTCAACAAGTGCACTCTTTGGGCTTCTATTTTTCTATTTGTAAGGTGAAGTTTTATATCCAATGATGCTACATGAACGGTAAATTCACTTTGATCAGAAGTAAAGATTTTATGAACCCAGCGTGGTGGTGCACACGCCTGTAATCCCAGTGGTTTGGGAGGTTAAAGCAGGAGGATCGAGAGTTCAAAGCCAGCCTCAGCAACTTAATGAGGCCCTAAGTAACTTAGTGAGCCCCTGTCTCTCAATAAAATCCAAAAAAGGGCTGGGAATGTGGCTCAGTGGTCGAGTACCCCTGAGTGTTCCCAGCCTCTTCATTAACATTTGTCATTCGGGGCCCTGGGTACTTCTCCAGTCAGGGCTCAGGGCTCTTTGTTTCATAGATTTACCCTCCAGCCCACAGTCCTAGGTATGGCTATCTCATATATAAATCATTGATTTTTTTCATCCAAGCCCTTCTTCTATCATCTGTCTATCATCCTTTATTCAACCATGTGCACAAACACACACACACACACACACACACACACACACACACACACACACGCACAGTTTTGACCAGAAATTTTATTTGTTATTTTTAAGACTCTGTTTAGGTATAATTTCCTACAGGAAGTACTTTCTGAGTCCCCCTCTCAGGCTGAATGAGACATCCACGTCTGGGCTTCCCTCTAGTTCTTGGTGGGAGTCCGTGATGTGCCACAGCACTAATCTAATTTAGACCTAACATCCTGGCACGTGAGTCCTAGCTCTGTTTTTACAGATGTGGAAAAGTCAAGGAGCCTTCCCAACACTGAACACTACTAAATCTCAGAGTCCAGAGTCAAACCTGATGTGCATGTTCGGTGACCACACTGGGTCACCTTTGTAGTGTCTGTCTCATAAGTCTGGGGCACAATTACAAAGGTATCCTGATACTCCATTGGGGTGGTGAAGATGGCAAACCTGCAAAGGCAGCACACAGGTCATGCTGGCTAGGACAAGGGATGGTGGGCAGGCTGGGGAAGAGAGCATATTGACCACTATCCAGCCTGAATAAGAAGGGAGTACAGGGGTGACCTGTATGGGAGTCCCACTACTGGACACTGAGTGGGGACTGGCTTCCAAGCCTGCAGGGAGAGTTGGGCACACAGACATCTGGGGTTTTGTTGTTTCTTTCTTGTTCTGGGTCTTTAAGTGGCAAGTCACCTCAAGGAATAGATCGCAAACAAAGTCTTTAGGGAATAATGACAGGCTGAGTGCTAGGTTGGTCTTTAGGCTGCTACATTTCCACTGGAGCCTCTCCCAGCGGGGGACACCAAATATGAATCAATAAGGTCAGACCAAAATTGTATGGCTTACAGCCAAGTACTACTATAAATCTTATAGAGCAAAACGTAGCTATAACATGCATTTTACAATAAATTATAAGATAGAAACAGGGCAAAATAAGAGCAAGTTTCTAAGTGTAGGATTATGCAAAAGTTTTAGAGCAATTTTCATAATGGAGGCATTAGGCCCATGCATCACTGTCATTTTTAACTAATATTTAGTTTAGAATTTTGAAAAGGTAAAGCAAATGGATTTTCCAGTAAGTAACTTTCCTTACCTGAAGTTGTTCTAGAAAGGATTATAGCTGAAATTACTCTCAAAGGTACTGACGAAAGAAGAGGCAATAAGAAATAAAGGTTTATTATTTAAAATTATAGCAGAATGGCTAAAACCATAGGCTCTGGAGTTAGATTGCCCAGGTATAAATCCTGACCTTAGTTGATGTGTCTGTGTCTCATTTTTTTCTCATCTATAAAGCAGAGATATCCGCCTATAGAGTTGTGTAAGAATTTAATGTGTTGATGCCCTTGGAAAAGAGCTTGACATATGGTGAAATAATAAATGCCAGATATCAATTAACTATTAGCTATTATTACTGGCAATTAAGTATGATTAATAGAATAGATTAAATATAAATTAAATTAAACATAAATACAGATTAAATATAAATATATAAATTGGTATTTATATATTTGATTTATTCCTATTAAAATTCATATTTAATTTATTCTACAAATAATTATGTGAGAGTGTGTTGCGTGCGTGTGTGTGTGTGTGTGTGTGTGTGTATACATACATACTCGTGGCACTACTCTGGGAAGTAAAGAAGGGGTAGA